TTTTTTCTTTTATTTCTACTACTTATATTTTTATACTAAAATTATAAAAATATTAATTAACTTTTTTCACTTTATATAAATTTTATTTATTTGAATATTATAATATACAATAACCAAATTTTCTTATATTTTTAATAATATTTCTTATATTTTTAATTGTGATTATAATTTACATTTTTTTTTTAGCAAACTTCGATATAACGAATAACACAATATAACAGATTATCTGTGTGGTACCAATTTTAAATATAAAAAAAACCTTGATATAACGAAGTTTATATTTATTTACTGTATAACGTAGTATGAAGTAAAGTATATGAATTGTCATATACAAAATGAATCTTTTTATAACAAATTTTTTTTATACCAAATTTTTTTTCAGTAAAATAAAGATTTTTATTTATTAAATTTCCTTTTAAAGTAAATTTGCACTACATATTTACCACATATTTTATCCATATTGTTTTTATACTAAAATATTAATAAAACACTCTCATTTTTAAAATCAATGGCTGAAAAATCCATTTCTACAAAAAAATAAAAAAGAAAGAATGTTAGTAAAATGTTCTTATACAAAATTACTACTAAACACAATACTCTTAAGTCCCACCCACCTTTGAAATCACCTAGGAGCCGTGGTCAAATAATCCATTCCTACAAAAATAAAAAAAAAGAATGTTAAAAAAACGTTCTTATATTAAATTATTAAGCACAATACTATCAAGTCCCACTCACCTTTAAAATTGCCTAAAAGCCATGACCAAATAATCCGTTTTTACAAAAATAAAAAAAAATGTTAGAAAATGTTCTTATATTAAATTACTAAACACAATACTCCCAAGTCTCACCCACCTTTGAAATCGCCTAGAAGCTATGGCCAAATGGTCCATTCCTATAAAAATAAAAAAAAGAATGTTAGCAAAACGTTCTTATACTAAATTACTTATACATGCCACCCAAATTATTTTGGACTGCCGTAATTATAAATAAAATCCCAAATTCAATTATGGCATCCCAAATTATTTTGGCACTTTACATAGTAAATTATATATAAACTGAATGAATTATGGCATCCCAAATTGTAATTATGGCATCCCAAAATAATTTGGGCAGCATGTATAAAATTACTAAACACAATAGTACTTCTAAGTCCCATCCACTTTTGAAATTGCCTAGAAGTTGTAGCCAAATAGTTCATTTCTACAAAAATAAAAAAAAAATGTTAGCAAAACATTCTTATACTAAATTACTAAATACAATAGTACTCCACCTTTGAAATCGTAAGAGCCATGGCCAAATGATCTGTTCCTACAAAAATAAAAAAAATTAGTTTATAAATTTTTTTTTATAAATGAAAATTGATCAGAAATAGATTGGCAAATCATATAAATTACATGATCCTCATATTTGATATGCCCATACCAAAAAATTCATTATACTATACTGAATAATTCATTATAGTATTAATGAATTTGCTTATAACGAAGCTCTGATCAGATAAGACGGAGGGTTTATTATATCGAGAGGGGACTGTATATAATTATATAAAATTTACTAATAAGTTAAATTATTTAAGTTAAATTTATCTTACACTTTAAATTATATTATATTATAATTAAAATCTAAAATTTATAATTAAATTTAAATAAAATAAAAAGCAAAATTATCTCTATAAAAATTTTATCTATTATTTCTGTAAAAATACTATAAAAATAAGTCTTTTACAAATCCATTTATAAAAAATGTAAATAATTTGATAAATTTTGAAATATAAAATTATTAATTCTAAAAATATGAGCTTTTTACAGAAAAAAAGGAATATAAAAAATAGATTAATTTTTTTTATAAGGTATATATTAAGTTTTTTATAAATACATTAATAATAGAAAAAAAAGTCTAATAAATATAATAAAAACCAATTAGTTATTAAATATTAGTAAATATAAATGTAGGGTTTCAATCCTATTTTTTAAAGCAATTTGGATCTTTTTTTGCGAATCTGGATTGAATTCAGATTCTAAATTTGACCTTAACTCTGATTAAAATTATAATTTTGACTGGAATTAATATTAAATGTCAAAAATTAACTGTCTGCAAAATTTGCTAGCTCTGGCCAAATTTATAGTGCTGGCTCAAATTAATAAAAACGAATTCATCCGTTGCAAAAAAGTAAAATCCAGATGTCCAAAAAATAAGGAAATCTAGATTTGAATCTGGATCAATCAGATCTGGATTGAAACCCTATATAAATGAAATAATAGAAATTTTCTTTTTTTTTTATAGATGTAGTATTATCATAATATTGTTTATTTACATATATTTAATTTATATAAAATAAGAAAAAATCAATATATATAAGATTTAAAATACTAGTATTATGAGATATGACTACTATATGATTATATTGTTATTATAAATAATGATGCAATCAAAAATTTCTAGGTGACTTATATCTAGCTAAAGACTGTATTTTTTTTCTAACAAATAGTTACATGTACAGTACTTGAAAAAAGTAATCAGAATTGCAAAAATGCAAAAAAATAAAAATCAATAATTATAATAACTTTAAATTTTGAAGATTTGTTGTTAAATATGTAAAGGTTATAAATATAAAATTTCAGCCTTATATCTTATTTCTTTGTCTCACAATCAATTTTTTAATTTAAAAAAAAATATCATTAAAAATTTAAGTAGAATGTAAATTTTATAAAGATTTGATATTGTTCTCAGACATTTAATAATCAGCATATATATTTGTTATAAAATATTATAAACATAAAAGAATAACTTTTATTAATTTATTAAAATTTTTTTTTGCCATTTAATTAATCAGTTTTTCAGTAAATTTGGATTAAAGTTGACTCAAAAATCATTAATAAAACTCAATTTTAAAAGCATTAAGCTTATTTGAATTGATATTTTTTCAAATAAATTAAATATTATTTATCTAATATTAATTAGATTTTATTTAATCCTATTATTACTATTTGAATGCTGTAACAGAATTTTTAGGATTTTATAGCTTAAATTTTTAATGACTTTTTTTTTCTTCAATTAAAAAATTGATTGTGGATTTTTATTTTTTGCACTTTTTGTAATTCTGATTACTTTTTTTGAGAACTGTAAATACTGTCAGGTGTAAAATGTTTAAAATAGTAATTTTTTAATTTTAAAGATAACTAAATAATAAAAATATATATTTTTATATTTTGATCAATACTATAATACAGATTAAAGTATTCAGATTTAAATCAATTTATCCATTTATTCCATTAGTATTATTGAAATTGATTTTGCTATAATCACTTAATCTTTAAAAGATGCTTTGAAAATTTTAAAATTTTTTTATTTTTTGTGATTAATACCATTAATATTTATTTATGTAAAATTCCAATAAATCAATACCTGATTATTCAGTTTAATTTAACTTGTAGCTAAATTACCCATTTTAAATATTTACCCATTTTAAATATAAAAAATATAAAAGAAATTAAAGAGCATTACTGTATATACAAATTTCGATACCAAAATGTATGTAACGGAATTTAAAATTAATTAATTTGTATCAGAACTTGAGAAAGTGAATTCTAGCAAAAAAGATACAGAGAATAATACTGTATATAACTTCAAATCAAATATGCGGGGTTTAAAGTAATAAGCGTAAATTAGAACTAAATGTATACATCGAATTTTGGACACAAGTTTTTAACCAGTTCAATAATTACTTGCTATGACAACTTTATACAGTATATTCGATTGTACAAAGCATGCTATCTTCGTTGATCTGTTAGTAGGTTCACGTCGGGTAAATTGGTTTAAATAAAGACTAGATGTTCTTCGATGATGATAGATTTTGAAATAACCAGATATTAAAAATTTTAACCTTTAAATATATATAACCAGATATTAAATTTTAACCTTTAATATACCTGATATTCTTAAACATTTATCCATATTTAACGGAACATCATTTCCACAAGTATATTTACACGGAAAAACTATAGACATTCATTCAACGTAAAAAGTATAAATGCGATACATCTATCAGCGCCACAGTTAGACACATGATTGCATTTCATATTTTCATCACATGACACTGATGACAGTAATGAATCATCTTAATGTTGGTCAAGATTTTCGTGCCATGATTTTTTAGACATTGATTTTTTTCGCGCGAAATGCTTTTTTACTCTTTTTTTTTTTTTAAAAAAAAAAAAAATTCTCCAGATGTGTATAAGAGACAGATAATCATGTGCTTCCTGCTGACACACAATTTTCACCATAATTACCATAATTGCTCCTTTTTTTAAACTAATTGCTAGCTTGCTTTTGATCTGAAAATCTTTATAGTATTTGGACGGATCGTGAAATTTAAAACAAATTTACAAATCAACAACTTTTTTAATTCAGGTGATAAAACATTTGTCTCTTGAACACATGATATTGATTTGAACATATTTAAAACCATGTTATATGGTTTGATTGTTTAAACAAAGGATCATGCATGGTTGTCGAATTTTTATTCAGTTCGAGGTTAGTATGCTATAATCTAGAAGTGTTTTTTGTATTTATAATTTATTATAATATATTAATTACTTTTGACAGATTAAATGTCATGTGATGGTGCATATGATCTTGTGATCGTTGACTGCTTTGCATCAAAGGCAATGTAACGTTCACTCTCTTGATTTATTTATACAGTCTATAGTAATTAATAATTTGTAATGTCAGATTAATTTATTTAAAGCTTCATGTGAGAATGAAAAAAGAATAAATAACTGAAACAGAATCAGGAATCATCATAAAACGAGAAATTAGCAATTAACTATCACAAGATACAAAATTAAATATACGACGTGAAAGTTTCTTTGCTCGTATTTTGATGGGAACCTTTGGGTTGGGTTAGAACATCAGTATAAATTGACTAAAAGTAGTATTTTTTAGACAAACAAACAAAAAAAAGTGAATAAGAATTTATTAATTTATTAAAAAGAGAAAAAGAGAATAGGATCTCATTTTTATTTCAAAAGTTAAAACTTATTTTATAATATCGTTCTCGTGAGAAAAAAAAATAAAGAAAGTGACACTGAAAATAATCTTAAAAAAAATTTGGGTTTATATATAACAATGGAAATACTCGCTAGAATAATTTCAATTTTAAAAAGTAACAAATAAGATAGAATAAAGAATAAGTACGTCTTTTAATTTATAAATCTAATCATTTTCTATTGGGGAGTTTCAACCGTATTTGTTGTATTTGTTCCTATATCTTCCTCGTCATTTTCTTGACCCGTCTCATATTCACCAGAATCGTCTGATGCGGTGGCATTGGCGGTATTTTGTACGGTAAAATCATTATTTGGTTGCTCGGCTTGATCTGAATTATCTGAATTATTGCTTAAAAGGCCTGTTATACCTTTGAACAAGGACCCAACATTTTGTATAAGACTCGGACTCGGTTGAGGAACACGACGAGTGAAAACTTTTGCAGATGTAAAAACTTCTTGATTTGAATTAATGACTTGATAAATAAGTGGAAAAGTACATAATTCAACGACTAACTCGTCAATCTCATCTTCATCCCAATTTGTATCCATGGAAGTTTTACTAACTTTATCGCCACAATTAAACCAATGATATTGAGCTATTGGTTCCTGTATTTTTAAACGAAAATAAAAAATTCTAAAAACTTCCTGAATAAGAATTTTTGACAACCTATCGGCACTCTCTTTCTTTTTGGGATTTGTTATAACGCGATATTGATCCATTGACTTGTTAAGATTTTCTGAGAATTTTTCAGTAATAAAGTTGTTTACACATATGTTATCTGATTTATCTGATTCTTTTATGTCCCCGAGACCTCTCATTCCAAGAGCGGTATATATTAGTTGACGTAACTTTATAGGTGTAACTTTTGTTATTTCATCAGTTCCACCACGAGTAGAGGAGAACTTTTCCATCAGTCCATATAATTCATCTGTTTTTTTTACGACAACTGATTCGAGATAATTATCCCCCTCATTATTAGAAAAAAAATCTCTTGCAAACTCAAAAATTGTTTCTAGCACGTGACGTCGCAATATAGCTTTAATAAATTGTTTATCCACGTTATACGGATCGATCTTGATTTGACATCCATAACGTGGTAAAAGTTTTTTAATTTCATCAATTTTAATATTCACATTTAATTTTCCTAAATTTGTTACATAGTCATCAATCTTGTCTTGTAATGACAAGACATCGTCGTGAAGTTGAACGTTATGATTTATATCATCGTCACTAATGTTGATATTTGTTGCAACTCCAAGTGCTGATTGATAATTTGAAGCTTCATTTTCTAGTTCGCTATTCCTTTGTATCAATGATTGAACTTCTGATGATTTTTCCCTCAATCGTTGTTTGAATTTCGTATAAACATCTTCGATCTTCTTTTTACTGTCTTGAAGTTCTATAATCATAGCTCCCTGTTTAATTATTGTTTGCTTTTGTTCAATTGTCTTTTGTTGAGAATTTTCTAATTCTGTTTTAAGTTTTAGGATTTCATCTTCAAGATGTTTATTCTTTTCAGTAGTTTCTTGTATATCACTTTTAATTTCAGTATCCACGTTATCAAATTCATTCGAAGTCAGAACATTATTTTGTTGATTTGTTGACGAGATAGAATTATTGGAATTATTGTCATTACTTTCCGATAATTGATGATCTGAATGCTGATTCGAAGAACCATCGACATCTATAGAAGTGAGAGAACTATTATTATTATTATTTGATGTTATATTTGTCGTCATTTTTTCTTCCTTTTTTTTTAAAAAAAAAAAAAAAAATANTAAAGATATGACAAACAAAGAAATATTTGAACCCCATTTTCACTTGATAATTAACAATTCCAAATTGGTTCTACTACAGATAAGTCATCTGTTACACTTGAAGAATTGGACCACATTTCAATAAATTCTTCTACTGTAAATAATGAAGGTGATTGTGGTGATCCAGTTGTAGTCGATGTTAAACTAATCAATCCAAATCGTTCTTTTTCATCATCAGATATTACTCTCGTATGATCAATTGATGAGTTAGAAGGTGAGGAAACAATATCTCCTATATCATCATGAAGTGATGGTGTTGGAGATAAAAGAATAGAATTTGTGGTTGGTTCATTATTATTAATTTCTGATTCTGAAAATGTTGGACTTGGTTTAGGTGAAAGCATTGTCATTGTTGTTGTTGAATGATCCCAAAGATTAATAGGTATCACGGATTGAAAATGTGGGAATGATGGTAATGGTTGTTGTTGAAATTGAGTTCTTTGTTGAGGTCGATTTACTACTGGTGGTGGTGTTGGTGGTGTAATAGGATGATGCTGTATTTGAAATGCCATGATTGGAACATCATCAATTGGATCATTTTGATGCCAAATCATTGTATGTGCTTGTTTAGATGGTCTTATTACTATTTGTCCTCCTGCTGGATATGGTTGCTAATGTATGAAAAAAAAAAAAAAAAGTAAAAAAAAAGTCAAATTTCTTTGAATTTCTTGAATTTCTTTCTCTAATAATTTATCACTACTTACAGTTCTTTTGTTTTCTCTTTGATTTTTACGAGATTTTCGCTTTTTAATATCATTTGTCTTTTTATTTCCTTTAATAACCCTAACTTTAGGTGGTTTATCTCGAATTGTAGTAATTGTTGTTGTTGTCGTTTTTACGTTAAGTTGATCATTTGGTGGGGTTATTAAATTATTATTAGTAATGATAGGAGAAGAAGAAGAAGAAAATTCCAAAGGTTCAGAATTCCAAGTATTAAGAATAGAATCCAAATTATTATCAAGTTCATTAACTAAAGAACAAAGATCATCCCATATTTGAATTTTTGTATGATCGTTATTATCGGTTGAAGAAGAAGATGATGATGAAAGAAGTTTTAATTTCATGAATAATTCATCACGTTTATTACCAATAAAATTTGGATTTTCAGGATTTCTTGTAATTTCATTATAAAGTCGTTTTAAAATAATAGTTTGTTCATTTGTAGTTGATGGATCTGTTAATAATTGTAAGATTATATTCGATTTATCCAAATTTTGTCGCAAAGGAAAATCTTGATATTGAATATCTTCAATATTAGAAATATTGGAAGATATATTGTTAATCATTTCATTAGCTTTCAATCGACTTGGTTCAATATATTCACAACGTTCATTTCGGTCACGACAATTTTTACAAGGTTTTTGAGTTAAATAACTACCATCGCATTTCTTTTTATCGCGTTTACATTTATTACAAGCGACAACTCCTCGTTTTTTTGTAATTTGTTTTGATGACATGATTATTTTCTGTATTTTTGTTTTATGATAATTTTTTTATATATAAGGATTTATTATCAATAAAAGATTTATTTGAAGAATAAAAATGGACGTTTGGAGGATCTTTGGTGGGTATTTATAAAAAAAACAAGAAACAAGTTCTTTTAAAAAAAAATTAGACTACTTTTTTTTTTTTTTATATATATTATTATATTATATATATATATATATATATATATTTATTTATTTTTTTTTTTTAACTATTATAAAATAATAAATTATAATTATCACAATAAAAAACCAAAAATCATAACGCAGATCTTGGATTTGGGATTGTACTACAATTTTACTTGATATTATTTATATTTGTATTGTAGATAAAGTGTTGACAAGGGGTGGTGTTAAGAGAGTTTTTTTTACAGTTTTTGTTGTAAAAAAAACAGATAAAATTGATTCGTATAGGAAAAAGTTTTTTATTTTAACTTTTTTATTTTAAAAAATAATCAAAAATAAATCGTAAAGTAATAAAAATAAAAAAAAAATTTTTTTTTT